AAAAATTAAACCCATGCCTTTTGTACTAACCACTGTTATTTGTAACTTTAGATGCAAAAATATCAGTTATGCAATATGAAAAGAAACATGGTGACCCATCTTTTATTATATTTATCAGTTTTATAATTCACCACAAACAACTTGTTAGGTCTTTAATTTGCTTATTATCTTTTATTATATAGAAGTACAGCAAACAGTTGCAGTAACAGCCACCTGTCATTTTAAGCTTAAGCTAACGTGAATATTTACAASCCTCCTGTTGACACACTGACATAACTTACCTGCTGTCCTTCAACCACTTWGAAAAGCTTTTTTCTTCCCTCATCATCTTTATCCCTCTCCCTCTTCATTTTTCTATTTTGTACCCCTGACAGCTTTTTTCCCTGCTGCTCCATCTTTAGCTCCCTATTGACAAGTGCGCTATGACAATTCAATTTTAAAAGAAAAAAAAAAAAAGAACGCACCTGAGCGTGTTCGCAAAGCGGTGAGCAGGAGGGGAGGTGAAGTATGGCAAGCCGTTGGGGCCATAAATCGGGCCTATATTTACGTGCAAATCCTAACGCGCGGTGCCGTAAATAACGTGCGAACGCGCGGTGGCGCCACGCGCGGTGGTGTTTTCTACCCTAACCCTAACCCCCCGCGCGTTCGCGCGTAATGCCACTGCGCGTTCGCACGTTATTTACGGCACCGCGCGTGGCGCCACCGCGCGTTAGGATTTGCACGTAAATATACGCCCGATTCATGGCCCCAACGGCTTGCAATAGTGAAGAAGGGGAGGTGCGCGGCCCATACGTGTCAAGTTGTATGAATYGTCCATTATTTACACAGATTTTTCGTCATTTTGGAGGCACACGGACATATAGAGCAATCTCATAGATTTTTTTCATATTTTACGGATTTTTTCGAAAACTAATTTTCAAATTTATTTAACATTTCAGAGCCTGCAGGACATTAAAAAGCAAATACAAATAACCAGCATCCAATCTCTGTTCTAGCTCTGCTGCTGGAAATAAGTTTCCCTGTCCTCAGCTGAAGGTGCTGTCATCCCCGACAGTCCGCCTGCACCCCCACCCCCGTGTGATTAATAAAGATTTCTTTGCACAAATGACATATTTTTGAGGCTCATATACAGGTAACTATCTGAAGGGGTTGACATGGGCGCCTAATTAGTGCCTTCCTCTGTTATTGATCATACATGCACAAACAGCTGTTAAATTAGAAAATGCCGACTAGAAAAAAAAAAGTCCCCACACCGTTTTGGCGCCCCCTGTAGTGCAGCGCCACCATGCGTTGCATACAATGCACTTTTTGCGCCACTGCGGCCATTTTAAAGTGAGATTCATTCTTAAGGCTCATGCTAACTCTGTTTCGTAAACTAACCATTAGTTTCGCAATGATCAAGCTGTGTTGACATRTTTATACAGGAACCAGAATGGTAAATGGCCTGAAAGTTTACAGCACTTTATCAGGAGTCATCCACATTCACACACTGATGGTGGTAAGCTACATTGTAGCCACAGCTGCCTTGGGGCACACTGACAGAAGCAGAGCTGCACCACCAGGCCCTCTGACCACCGCCTGCATTCAAGGTGGATGAAGTGCCTTGCCCAAGGACATAACAACTGAGACGAATGGGGTGGAGGTTCAAACTGGCAACCCACAGGCTACAGGAMAAACGCCCTCCTGTTACCCGGCAACAAAGTGTTTTTCTTAATGAGCTCTGAAAAGTAGTATGAGCATTAAAGCTGCAGGGCTCAATATGTGGTTCACTGACACATTTTATTATTTTTGTTAAGAGGTAATATTTAAAGAAGTAGGATCATAATTGTGCACATCCTTGCAYCAATATGAAGTCCCTTTGCTTCAAGGAAGCACCTCAACACAAGTCCAATATGAGTATTTCCATCAATACATGGTTAATAAGAAAACCTTTTACTTATTTATATAGATTATAGATTAGTTCTGTAGTAAAGAGATGATTTTTTAAAACTTATTTTGTCTAAAGTGAAATCATTTTGATTTTTAATGTGTAATCCACACTTTTATTACATCTCAGCTGGATACTGCAACGCTCTGTATGTTRGTGTTAGCCAGGCCTGCAGTTTGTTCACAATGCAGCAGCACGCCTGTTAACACAAACAAAAAAGTGKGATCATATCTCCCCGGTGCTGGCTTCCCTTCAATAGCTCCCTGTTTCCTTTAGAATAGATTTTAAAGTTTTGTTGCAGACCTACAATGTTCTGAATAGACTGGTTCTTCTTCCATGAAGCAGCTCTGTTGTCCTCCATCTATATTTTCAGTTACAGGCTGAGTCATTTCTACCTTCTCC